CATGTTTTCGAGCTCTGAGGTCCATGCACAAATTATGGTCCCGCATTAGCAGCGTAGAAGTCAAATCTGGACTGCGAATGTATATTGACGATACTCCAAAAGATTACGCCCAAGATATCTTCACCCAACTTATCCGCAGACTTACTTTTCTGTTGTGCGTTTTCCAATTGTGGCATCTTTTTGAAGTCCTAATCCCAAAGTTTCAGAAACTACAATTCAGAGTCGGAGCCATTTTTTCAACCCTGCCATCAGCATTGCCTTAGAGGAGGCTGCCCACTCAAAGTAGATGGTGTTATACACTTTCTACACCGTTTATCCAAAGCTTCAAAGACCAATGAAATACTCCACTGTTATCTCGTTGGCGGGGATATCCTTCGATTGCTGGATGCAGCTGGGACACATTTATTCTCTTGTGGAGCCCTAAGCTCAGATGGAGCTGTCAATCCAGAGGATGAGGATACACCTGCCCATCTCCGTCACACCTACTATGGCCCTCGTTATCGGATACTTGTGCTCTCTATGGCGTGGGAATCGCTCCAAGAAGACAAACCCAGGAGCAAGGCTAGCACTTCTTTGGAAACTACTATTTTCAATTCAGCGGCATGGACACTGATAAAAAAACACAAAACCTCTCTGGGAATCTGAACTGGGCTACCCTCCGGAACAGCATGATGATTGGGCTGATGAATGGTTGCATCCTTCTGAAAATCCGACGAGGCAGCAGGATCATCAAAGTGATGTATATTCATGGATCAAATAATCAAATAACAAGCAATCAAGGTAGCCTTCACATTAACTTAAGCGCATAAGAGTTGTCAATGTAGAAGCTTATCTAAAACCCTATCGAATAGTAGCCGACCCAGGGATCTAATTGATCAGAAGTTATCTCCTGTAATCCAACTTTAACGCAGCATTCTTTTACTCTTTCTCGGTCTGGGTCTTCCTTGCGGATCAACCAATTTTTCGCTAATTTCAACTTTAAGATTTTAACTTAATTTTGCTTTCTTTTGCGGATTCCTTTGTAATATGTACAATGAACTAGACTCATGCCTTCTGCCTGTTCTTACCAGATTACTCGCACGGTCGGATGATTAAAAAAACCATGTACTACTTGTTGAACTCAGATTTTCAACACATTTCTGGGCTATCCTTGTGTTGTATCCACCACTATAGATAATAAATTAGTAATTACTACAAGGTAGGCATAAATTACAAAAAATTTGCTTACCTCAACCAAGTTATCCTGGTCCATCCAGCTCTTCATCCATAGTGATTTTTGGTACATACCCGAGAGCTCTTTGAGCTTTGAAAATTTTGAGCCACCGCAAAACAGAACTCATGAGAACAACACAGTATCTTGTCATGACTAGCTTTCTACCAGAAATCCATCCATGTAACTCCATCAAAGTTACAAGCACAAGCCCATGCCATTGAGGAATTACAGTGGGTTTCTTCTTAATTCTTTTCCCCGGAAAATGCTTGCCAAACCGGTCCCAAATGCCATTTGCAAACTTCCGGAATGGCCGAGGATCACATTTGTAATAAGGAAGGCCTTGCCTGCGACCGAGGCCGCATTATAATGAAGAGGAGATGCGAGGTAATCCATAGTCAGAATATGAGCATCCGCTACATTCTGAACAGATGTCAAATCCACAAGGTTCGAATTGTTACCAATCTGTATCCCGGTGCGGCCAGCCTGATATCGTTTGTTCATTACCGTCACCGTAGCTTTATCCCCGGGACTATTGAATGAAATCAGAATTGAGAACTGTCAATGAGTCCGGCACAATAATCACTCACCCGAAAGTAACTTGTTAACTTGTAAACTTGATGTAACGTACTTCAGTGATATATATCATTACAGCTGAGCCAAAACAGAGCTACTACATGGTCAAGTGCAACAAAAGTTCAGCCATCCGATACATTCCGGTACTGAACTTTGATTTCTTGCCGTTCCAATGCCATTATACTTGGCCGAACTTCGGCAAGTTCCCATCAAGTTAACGGACTTCAAAATTGATAGAAGTTTCTCCTCGCTTCACTTGCCTAGTATTTACTGCTAGGAGCCAGTTTTCTTTGACATTGAGCGGCCATGCACATAACAATTGCCCCATTTGTACTTTGAGGCTCGTATGCAATGGAAGCATTACCAGGGCTTGCAACAATCTCTCCTGGAACCATTGGATTCACTCTGGTGAGAATGATTTCAAGAACTTATCTCTGCAGAAGGTTCAGGATTTTCATTTTGTAACACACCTTGACATATTATGATACGCTGTCACTTGATCAAAGCATGGCAAGAATATGGCAATTGATTGAGTGTAATACGAGATGAGGAGGACAAGGAAGACCACAGAGTATTTGAACTAGGGTGAAATGCGACACCGTGTCGCATCTGACGACGCATGCGGCATCAATCTAATAATCCGTGCACTTGCGACGCGACGCTTTTGTCTCATATTAATCAAAATAGAACCGATTTTTTGCTAATTTTATCTTGAATGTTTAAACGAAAAGATAATGTAGCAGTTTTGTTTAGATTCCTTGGTAAGTATACCGGTACAATCCAAATAAGAAAATGCCACGATTAGAAACTACCGCCAGTAACAGGGGCATTCTTTATCGTCGATCCAGTCCCTCCGGTTACGGTAAGACCAGCGAAATTCCACGTCCTGTTCACATCAAGATTTAATCAGTATCTTTCATTTTTTTCAAATCTATAAATATTGAACGAACCCAGTGCAGCTTGAAGTACTTCCGCAGTTGACCTCTACACGGTGAGCGGAGCTTCCGACAGTGATAGTGTTGGTGCCTTCAAAGTTGACGTTCTGTTGAAGTGATTCCGAATCAGGTCTCTGCTTCTTCTTCTTGAACTCTCAACCACGAACCTCGATAACAACGCCAGTTCCGGGCGTACCAAGCGTCGCAGGATAACTCTGATCGATAAGAACACCAAACGAGGTGATACCGGTTAGCTTGTTGTTCTCGTAGATGACATTCTCGACAATGGAACCGGTTGCTGTGGCGTCTGTTTTGATTCGGAGACCGTTCACCCTAAGGAGAGGAGATGTAAGTAAAGACGCTTGTATTACTCGAGAGATTGTTTGTAAGTAGTTACTCACGTTCCGGTGACGGTGTTTCCAGAGATTGTAACACCATTAACGGTGGCGCCGCTGCTGATGGAGCCCTAGAAAATTCATGATCAAGTTCAGTCATCGATCAGGACGCATATATCCAAAAAAAAAAAGCGTACGATAGATATACCGTGGCCGATACCTTCACAAACGTTGTTTGAGAAAGTGATTGAAGATCCTCTGTTCTACAGAAGCGGAACCTAAGTAGGGTCATCATATATGCATATCAAATGTCACTTACGATAGCGAGACAGTCGTCCTGGTTGTTGACGGTACATCCGGTTACTAGACGCAAGTTGAGGCGAAGGATGTATATCGCAGGAATCTTGACTTACTAGTCACATCGTTGGCTGCGACATCGAAACCATCTGTATTGGCACCAGCAGGACTACCACCAGAAAGACTATTCGGTGCAGTACCAGCAGCTAAATCCCAACGACGAGGTTGTCAAATCGGGAACAAACATCAAGTATCAAAGAGGAAACAAAACGTACAATTATCGACGGTAACATCACTGACGGTGAGACCGTTCCCGTTGACAGCGACGGCTCGTTGGGGTGATTCGGAAATTTTTACGTTGGTGAATGTTCCGCCCATGTTGAGTGTAAGCATTGGAGCAGGTTTCTCGATACCTCCGTTACCACCTTGTCCGTCCTAGAGAAGGTATGAGGGAACGTAAGCCTCAACCGCGTCAAAGAGGAAAAAGAAATAACGAACCCAGTAGAGAGAGCCCTGTCCGTTGAGAACGTGTCCTCCTGCGTCACAAGCAGAGATGCATATGCAATGATAAATTTAATTGACCCAAGATCTTACCTCCGTTGACTATACACAGATTTCAAAAGTCAGCGTCGGTTCACAGTCTGTAGGATGGAACACCTCTACTCACAGGTGATATCGTTTCCCGATATTTGCATAAGAGGTCCAGCCCATGCCTACACCAGCAAGGAATTCATATATCAAGATCAAGATAAAAATTCATGTTGACTTGCCTTGAAACCGAACGTGATTTCTCCCGTCAAGGAGATTTGTGCACCATCAGGGGGACTCAGAGCGAATGTTTCTACGTCGTGATCGGTGAGATACCTATCGTACAAAATAGTGCTATCACCCACCTCCGGCGGGAACCGTGAAACCACCAATCTAGTTGTATCCTTCGAATCAGATCGAAGAGGGGGTAGGTAGTACGTGACATACCACAATGGTAGTGCATTCCTGAGCCGCCGCAACATCTGAGAGAGACTGGATCTGGCCTGTGCAGCGCTTTCCGACTTTTCGGGGCGCATTTAAGGTAGAGTTTTGATGTACGGTGGGGGACGCAACCGCAGCGGAAAGAAACAGGGACAGAGCAAAGATTGAGGAGAACATCTTGCCAAGACTGACTAGCGAAGATTTTTTCCGAGCTAATTTATGCGTTCGGTGAAGGATGCATATATGCTCGTGCTGATAGCTATGAACGGAGTCTCCGGGCCTTGCAAAAAATCAGAAAACTCCGGGGCCTGTGAGTACACGAGTATGTTTCGACGTGTCCGGCAAACGCAGTAAGCGGTTTCGAGACAAAGTCGATCATGTTGACGATGCAGGTGGGTATTAATAGAAAAATTGGTCGACCCGATTGGAGAAATAGAGTCAGTTTAGACTATGATGCCCGAGAGAAGAGGCAAAAGACTCACGACTTTGCACAACGTGATGTATAGACCTGGCCGAAGTTTAGCCAAAGTATAATCCCAGCTGTAGCCGGGCCGTTGCACACGTCTCGATTCTTCTTATTCTGATCGTGCCGAAATGTATGGATGGTAGGACGGCTGAATTATAATAGCATGGAAAATCCTTTGGGTGTAAAAAATGCAACGCATCGAAAGTTGACAATTCCAATGCGGGGAATCGAACCCCGGGCTGCTGTGTCGTTCACGTATTTTCATCACAGATGAAAGACAGCAATGTTAGCCACTACACCACATTGGATCCATTGGATAGGTTTTGATATACTGAATGAGGGTAAGATACTTGGGCCCAAGTAACAGAGACTCCGGGTAAGGCGTCGTCGCAGCTATTTAAAGCTAGAAAAACCACAGCAAATGATTTCAAAAGGCCTTTGTGGCACATCAATCATAACCTCGGAGTCTGAAGCTCTGAAGCGCTGCACACGTGGCCCGCAACCATGTCTACTCCATCCCTCGACCGTGCCCTCGCCCACAAAGCTTCTAAATGGACAGGACTGGTAACCAAAAACCCAGCTCGGGTCGTAGCAGCCCTTAAAATCGGACCTCTTGGACCAAAACACAGAGCGACGAATGAATTCGGGGACACTGGGGAGGATTTCATTTTCGCTATGGATGCCGTCAAGAAGGTCACGGAGGCGCTGGGAAGGGGAGGAACAAGTAATTTGGATGAAGAACACAAGAAGTGGGAGGGTCTGGTCAACGCTGGGGCCGTGGAGGCTTTATGTCGGAATGTGTGCGAGTTGAAAGCAGATACGATGGCTGAGGACGTAAGTAGCTTTGAACGTCGTCCAGCCTTCCGTTTACAATTTTGGTTTGCTGTAGGCAATGTCTTCGTATTACCCGCCTTTTGTTATGCTATACTTTGCCGCCATAGGCATTCGTTCAAAAGGTTCTGAATCCGACTCGCTGTCAGGTACAGACAAACGTGTTCTTGCCGTTATTAGAGATAACTGGCGAGATATGATTAATCGTGTAAGTACGCGTCAGCCCCGGTCGGTGCTTCAGCAAGATCATTGCTGATCTCTTAAATGTCCTGTACAGTGGTGGAGTGAACCACAAAACTCGTTAAAAGATATTACGCACGAGCCTGAGCGGCTCGTCGTTTCCAGGTTGCTCGGTCATTTACTGATACATGATTCGTCGGTGTATGAGTAAGTTGACCTTTTCGCCCGGAGGCATTCCAAGTACTAACGCTTCGACTTCTCGGTCAGAATCATCTTTCACCCCTCCGACAACACCCTCGCCCTCATCTCACGACACTGGGCACATTCCATCACCCCTACCGTCGCTCGTTCAACCGTGGTCATCCTTCGCAGCATCTTGCTCTTCAATTTTTCCGCAAATATCGAAGAGTACCTCGAATCGCACGAAAAACCCTCCTTATCCTTCCTCATGTCCAAGGTATACGCAGGACTGGGCTCAGATAAACCCGAAGCTCTGCTGGACGTCATGTCGAGCAGATTGGCTTTGCGTGAAAGTGGCGGAGGAGCAGAGGAGGCCGTCGAGTATGCAGTTCAGGATTTGGCGTTCTCTCATGACCTGTACGTCAATTTGGATCCTGCTTTCGGAGAGGCGTTACGGCGTGCGGAAGGGTACTGGAAGAACGCTTTCGAGTTGATGCTTCCTACCGCCTCTTCTTCCCCTTCCTCATCATCGGATACCAACCCCCCTGCCGACGCCCTTGATGCTCCAGCCTCGACCCAGCTTTCCCAAGCGGCACTCACTCTCCTACTCAAACTCGTTCTTCAAAAACCCGATTCGGAGGTCGCGGAAGTCACGCAAACCTGGATCCGCGCAGGATTGTTCGATATGTTTGATAAGAATATGGGCGCGGTCGTAAGGGCTCCTGGGGCAGCTAGTACGTTAATTTGTTCGGTTTTCCCTTATTTCACTCAATGCCAACAATCGTTTCCTTCCCTTAGGACTACTAACATTCCTCTTCACCTCCATCAAAGAATCCGCGTTCAACTTCCCTCCCGAACTCCTCTCCCTACTCAAAGACGAACTCCCGAGACAAAAAACCGTCGCCGCGGTGATCAAATACGATATGGAGCTGCAGGGTGCTGTCGGAGGCGATTCTGCCCAGGGGGACAAGAACCAACTCGCAAAGACGAGAGGGAGAACATTCGGAGAGGGGACGGATCCAGATGAGATTCCCGACGCGCAGGATCCGCTATGGGCGAACGGGCTGTGGCAGGCGATAGGGTGGTTGCAGGGCCTGTGTCATTCGCCTACGCCCGATGTGTGTATGAGGCGGACGTGTGGGAAGAAGGCGGAATCGCGGTGTTCGGGTTGTAAGCAGGTTGGGTATTGTGGAGCGGAATGTCAAAAATTGTGAGTGATTTTTTGTTTCTTCGAAACTTTTCAAATATTTTGAGTGACACCCCTACTCCTGCGTGCACTCTTGCTGTTTTGACGCGCGCCTTTCTGCTGGGCCTCCTTCTTTCCTCCTTCCTTTACTCACCCACATCGATATCCCCTTCTAGAGACTGGAAAGAACATAAACCACTATGTAAATGGGCTGCGCCATATATGGAAGCCGTGAGTAAGGGCGAGAAACGCATCACTCGGGAAAAGGCAGTCGAAATGGGTTTGATTGGGCCTGGGGCCGGACTAGAGGGGGCTGGGGAGGCGGGCACGACGACGGCGATTGATCGATTGAAGAGCCTGTGAGTTTTGCTTTCTCGTTCATTCTTCTTTCTCTTGCTGAGTATACTGATTCTCCTTCCCCTCCGCCCCCCCTTCTTGTTGTCTTCTTCTCTTCGAACTTGCAGATCGGACTATGTGACCCCGGTGATGTTCCTCGTTCTCGTTGTGGCAGGACAGTATCTTGGGATATTTGATGATGTGGGTAGGTGGGTGAGTGAGAGATTTAGGGGTTCTGCTTGATCTGGATAGTAGATATATAGATTTGTGGGGTTCTGTTTATGGTCGTTTAGCTGCATATCCGATAGGACAAGAGATTAATTCTAATTTACTCCAATGTGGTGTAGTGGCTAACATTGCTGTCTTTCATCTGCGTTTCGGAAATTGTAACACAGCAGCCCGGGGTTCGATTCCCCGCATTGGAATGTGAGAAGAATACTCATAAGGTGTTTTTTTTCTTTCTCTTACACTTAGGGCTCCATTCGTGCCCATTCACAGGCTTGCAGGGTCATTAGGCAATATTTTTGCTTTCCCTAAAAAAGGGGAATCGATTTGCTATACAAGTAAAAGTACCATAGCACATCGGCTATTCATTTTGGTTTCCAAGTACTCGTACAAGAGCCATTTCCAAGTATACAAACATTTCCGCAAAACCTATACAACCCACTCCCAGTCCACCCGTCCAAGCCATTCGACAGAACCCTAATTCCACGCATGCTCCGCATACAAACCTAACACCGCATTCGCCAGCACATCCGTATAACTCTGCACATCCGCAGTCGTAAATGTCTTGGCATTTTGCCCATTCACTTGACTCTCGACCTGATTCAAGACTTCCAACAATTGATCCTCGATGAAATCAACGAACACGAGATCGACTAGTGTCGAATTCGTGACGTTAGATCCAGAAGGGTTGTTGGAACCGATGAAGTCGGGGATGGAGAAGGAGGCGAGGGGGGCGTGGAGGATGTCGTCGCCGACGCCCGGGCAGGACTGGATAGAGAGGGAGTCAGATGATGAAAAGTGGAAGGAAGAAAGGGCGGAGGAGGAGACAGTTGAGCCAACCAAGTATTCGAAACAAAGGAAGAAATGGCAATACTCACGTCGCTCGTAACGTATCCCAACGTCAGATTCTTCGCCGCCCGTTTGACAGCACCATCATGCCTGCGATCCATCTCATCTAACCATTCCATATACCTCCTATCAACATATCCCCTCTTCCACAATTCCTCCTCTCTGCTTTGCAGCACTCCGCTCAATTCTCTCTTCCTCCGTTCATCAGCTCCCGCAGAATTCAATGCTGGCAAAACCTGCTCCGCCACGCCCAAGTCTACGCTTGGGATGAACAGGAAAGCGTCAGTGAATGGACTCGCGCTGATTTGATCGTTCTTGTCAAATGTACCCGCATAAATGTCGAATCGTTGGGAGCCAGAGTTGGTGATCATAACGTTAGAATTGTTGGCGCGTGAGTTGTTGAGGGTCAGAGCGTAAGGCATAGCGAGGGAGGCAAAGAGCGTCAGAGAGGAACCGTTCGAAGGATACGGGTCGCTATGAATTGGGAGGAGTGGCAGAAAAAAAGAGGGATGAGCCGGGGATGAAAGGAAGGAAAAAGTGATGTCGGGCGTACCGAGAAATCGTGTAATCCTGCGGCGCAATCCCAAACAACGTCGACAACTCATATTTCTGTGCCAGACCCAATAAACCTTGAGTGATTTGCTTTCCTTGAGGAGTGTCGAAAGTAGAGTTACGTTGTTGACTGTGGTACTGGGATGTAGGATAAGATTTGGTTTAGCGAAGATAAAGGTGAAGCAACTCACTTCATACGTGACCCGATTCTGATCCAAGTACCTCCTACTAAAGGTGATATTTTTCTTCGAGTTCCGGTCTGAAGGATCCCCAAGTTTTGCACTGAGCCAGCCAATAGTCTCCATGTATCGACCACTTTCGAGGGCCATGGAGCGTCCGTCGGGTTGGTCTGCACAGCGAGGAAAATGAAGATCGAGCAATCAGCCGCTGTGGAACATAGCGAGAAAATACAGCGTCAAACGTACTGCAATCTCGAATATGAGTATGTCCTCCGAGAATGATAATCGGCGTCTCAGCATGTACAGCACGTACTGCGTTGAATACAGTGGGCCAGTTGTCTCGCGATACGGGCATATGTCTATTATACAAGATTTCATCCAGTATTGTGTAAACAGTAAAGAATCAACGTACCCGACAAGCACGAATACATCAGGTTCTTCTGCAATAGCTTCAGCAAACCATTGCTCTTTCACCATATCTTCGACCTTCTGGACGGTGGTATTCACATCGTTTCCAGTAAAATCATACAAGACCCCTAAGGAAGTGATCTTCCTTCCTTTCCGAGTCGTGAATTTACGATACCGATTGCCAACCGGAACGCTGACACTGTTGTTATGCTTGTCAAATACGGTAATGTTGACATTTGACGAGAGGTATTTTCCGCTCAGGGCAGGCGCAAAATTGGTGAACATGTCCCAAGTATTGAGGTAGATGTACAATTCATGACTGAGGAAACAAATAAGAACGAGAACAGAAGCAAAAACGAAACGACGCACTTTCCAATGGCCATGACATCGTACGGAAGTTCTTTGATGAATTGGTTAGCCTAGCAAATGAGATTCAGGTCAAAATACGCTTCGAAGTTGAACGCGAAGTACGTACGTCGTGAGCGTCAATACCACCTGGTGGAAAACCGTCTGAAAGCCCGGTGCCATCATGAAGATCTCCCGAGTCAATGAGAAGAAGATCTACATCTTTTTCCTGTGTCAAATATGTCAGCGGTGTTTTACATGCGACAGAAAATGTGATATGTACAAGAGCAATGTCCTTCATGTGTTTTACAAAGCTCGCAAAGTCTCCAAGGTCTCCACTGTAGTTTGGCTCAGGGAACGATGCATGCTGATGTCCAAGTAGCCATCCTGTGTCCAATCTTTAATCCACTATATTACGCATAAAATTGCACTGGAAACTCACCATGAGTATCCGTCGTATGTATGATGTTCAAGTCTCCCCATTCCAAAGGCCTTGTAGGTACTGTCAATTGAGTTTGAGGGAAGAGTCGTTTACTGTGAACATGCTCGTGATCGTGATCGTCGCTGCAGCCATTGGCGAGGTTGACCGCGAAAACGACGAAGCCGAAGAACGTCGCTGAAACTGAGAGCCGCATCGTCAAGTGTGGGCCTAAAGTTGACTCCAGAGATGATGTTTGTGATTAGGCATGCTTTATATACCTCGACGGCTATTCTTGTTGAATAGATGTGGACTGAATCAGAGATGGCAGATGGCAGGTGAGGCGCATGGCAATCTTGTGGTCATCGAGGGAAGGAGTTGATTTACATAAGGGCACGTTCGACCGCTATACAATCCGGGCTCTCATCACTTATGGATGGCTTCTGGAATTTAATCTCGTATTCTGTTGAGCTATTGAGGTTCTCTCGAAATTGAAAGGCCCATATACAGCAATACTCTTGTTTCTTTTTCATTTCTGACTCGGACCTATTCTCCAAGCCCAGGAGTCAGGTCCTGAGAGCGCGATACCGTGACCTCCCACATTGGTCCGAAACTCAATAGATCGAACTTTTTGTTATCCAGATTCCGGGCTGAGCGCGGGCGTAGACACTAATAACGAAAGGACAGCCGTCGAGCGCAAGGTACAAGGTTCGATAGGAATACAGAACATCACAGCTAGTATGGAGCTGGATACCGTCGATGGGTGACAGCCTTCTAAGGAATTGTGGTCAGCAGGTTGCATCTAAGTTAGGCATGAATAGCCTAGCTTTCAAGAAGTCGAGTGAGGTTCGGAAGAATTAAACGTATACTGCACTCAGTGCCTCCGAAAGTCATACGACAATGATTCGGGTATTTTGAGATTCATTGGAGGTACGAACTTGGAGCCATTCCTTATCTCCCCACAGTCATATCGTTGCATATGCAGATGCCTACACGCCTTTGCAAATTTAGACCGAGACAAGAATATTAGAGACCAACCTCATGCCCTTCTGAAGTCATCGCACCAGTTGAAGCCTGAGTTCGACGAATTTATAACATTACCGACCCCAGCGACCTTCAGGTTGAAACGCTAAGTAAGGAGTGAGATTTCCAAAGTTGAGGCTCGTTACCATTAAATCCGAATTAGCGAAAAGCAAAGCACGAAACCCCAAGTGCTAGCCAGTCCTCCATGTACAAATGATAAATTTGAGCCGAACTGTCCTTCCTCAGTTGTATAGATTCTGGAATATCCTCTAGCATGATGGCAGAGTGAGAAGACGAGTAGATCCTGGATATCTACGTTATAGAGGGTAGCCTCTATCCACATAAGTAACTGAAAATTTTGAACTGGGACTGCAAAGAGGAAATCTTCGAGACAACACTTGCAAAAAAAAAATAAGAGAATAAGAGCCAGATTCCTCGCAAGCCTTTTTTACGATGTGCAGGGGACATAGCTTCATAATTTAGGATTGAATCTAGATGTTGTTCGTCGGCGCTCTGTGACTATATACTCAGCCAAAGTTAAAACCTGGAAATTATCGGATTAAATGAGCAAGAAAAGCACATCGGGGCTCACAAACTCTTTAAAATCGCGCATGGGTCATGAAGCCATAAGTACTGGATTTCTGCACATAACTTCAGAGGTGGAGACGAGGATACTTCGGTGAAGGTGAAACGAAATTCTTAGATTATATAATACGACCGTACTCAAATTGCAAGAGCAAAGCGATTCATACGAGAGCATTGGATAAGCGAAACAAAATTGTAGCCTTACGCGTGCCTTGCGGACTTGTTCTGGAGATATATGACGGGAGCTCAAACTGAGCCATGCAGAGTCGAACGCCAACGCCATTATCAGGCCCATATTCTTCTTTTTTCATGGTACAGATTTAGTTTGTACACGCAGCCTCGTACCACTCCTACTAATTCCATGCATGCTGAGCATATATACCCAACACCGCATTCGACAGCACATCCGTATAACTATCCACATCAGCATCCGAGTACGTTTTCTCGCTTTGAATCTGGTTAAGAATTTCCAACAGCTGATCCTGGATATAATCCACAAAGATCAAGTCGATCAATGTATCGTTCGATAGAGATGGAGTGTCAGAGGCGATAAAGTCGGGAATGTCGTACGAGGCTAGAGGAGCGTGTAGAGTGTCGTCGCCGATACCGGGGCAAGACTAGGCGGCAAAATGTCAATACGAGGATCATAGGGTCAAAAGCGGCGGGAATCACGAACGTCGCTTGTAACATATCCCAACGTCAAATTTTGCGATGCCCGTTTCACAGCACCATCATGCCTACGATCCATCTCATCCAGCCAGTCCATATACCTCCGATCAACGTATCCCCTCCTCCATAGCTCCTGCTCCCTCTTCTCCAGCACATCCCGTTTCCGATTGTC